GCCTTCAGAAAGAAACAGGTTGTGGAAACACAGGAGCAGTCCATGGAGTATAATGGCATTGCTTGAAATTGAAGTTTAGGACCATTATTACACAGTTTTGTTTGGTTTTTAATGGTAAAACTTATCAAGAAATATGGATTAGAGTCACAGAAGGTGTTTTAAGTCATAGGCATTAACAAGAACTCTTATAATGATCTATCCATTTATAAAAAAACATAACCAAGACTCTAAAATCAACAAATATACTCCACAGTTAGAAATTCCACTACAAGGAATGGCCATAAAACAATTTGAAATGGAACATACCAAAAGCCCCATTTCGAAGTTCTGATGTTAATATAGCATCCAAACATTATCTTAGATCAATTCAGGGACCTGTACCACAGCGTGAAGTTAATGTTAATACATGAAACAACGAAGTTTCAGTTTATTTTTAGCATTTGGAAACAGAAACAATAGAGCCAGGTGCTCTGACAGAGGAAAGCACTGTAGGACGAAATAAAGCAATCGCTTCGTGGTTAAATACAACAAAAAATCCTCTTACCAACATGTATTTCCAAACATACTTTCCAGGACCTGTGGTAAAATCCTGGCCGAATGAGGAAAACAACAATCACTCAACCAAGTACACAGAAAACAGGATTCCAGCCCATTTCTCTATGTTCTTTGAAAGCCCCGGATTTCAAAGAAATCGGAAACGTGAGAGCTGTACAGCGCTACGCTACACGTCCTGCACACACAGAGCACACAGAGGTGGGAAGGAGAACAGCGGGTACCGGGTGACGGATCTCACAGTGGCCCTTTGCACCCAGCTCGGAGAGGTGGCTCAGCATCCACGGCCAGTACAGATACATAAACCCCAAAACGCTCGAAAGGCATACCTTCCTTTGCTTCCTTCCTCTTTCTTCACTTCTTTTTTCACAGCTTCAGCCTGAAAGGCAAAAATCGGGGTTCAGTATCTCTGCCCTTCAGAAGCATCAGCCCAGAACGTGCGTACCCCAGCTCATTAACAACACCACAAACCCCAACGAGGCTTGTATCCCCTCAGGTACCAGTAAATTCTTCTCAAACCGCTCCCCACAGAACAGGTATTTTGTAAGACGACAAATAAAAGCACATGGCAGAGATGTTACTAGAAGTTTCCTAGACAGAACGGGCGGCACACCACTAACTGTTCTGCTCGTCTCATCTTCAAAGCTGTCGTGTTTTTGAGCAAAATCGGCTTTCGGTCTGTGATCTCTTTGGGGGAGAGGGATGTTAAACCCATCTCTGCCCAGACAGCACCTCCTTCCCCGTACTGGCGAGGCCACTGACGGCTGCGGAAGGTGAAGGCAGTCACCTTGATGAAAAGTATTCTCCAGGAAACAACAGCACACCTTCTCTAGAGACAGATTACATTCCAACCAGTGCCTACAGAAAAGCCAAGGCCGGTTTCTATTCTTTAAAACCTGTGTTCATGTCTCGTAGGATGACTAGGCATTTCTACTTTCTGTTATTCTATAAACTTGGGGTATAAATGTTAAATGGAATAATGTCTTCTGAGAAAAAAACAACCACAAACCATCCGAGCTCTGCAGCTCTCGCAGGTACTAATGTAGGTCAAAGCAATCAAAACAAAACATCTTTAAAAACTCCGAGCTGAAATCAGTTTTCTGAAGGTATTCTACAAACTGATTGGAAGACTATCACTAAGACAGAGAACATCAGATAAATACAGTGCACGTAGAATTCACTTTAATCTTTTATTTACGCACGTATTTCCAAAGCCTTCAGTTTTCCCTCTCTACAAACATTTATTCCAGAGCTAAGTGCCAAAAGCAATCTGAACATGTTATAATGAATTAAAAATGATTTGGTTTTTTCCTTCTGACCGGCTCCTGAATGAACAGCTTCTGGAGAAAACAGCTCCTGGCAAACGGAGCTAAAAGCTTAACGCTCCTCTGGTACCTCGGCACGTACCACAGCTCGTGGCAGCGGAACCGAGACGATGGCCAGGAGGTCACAGACTCACAGCTGGAAACACCCAGCTTCCCCTGCTCCTAGTGCGAGCAGACGTTTCTCTCTCCACTGCAGATAAAAATAAAGCTCAGGAGTCCACCTCCCAAATACAGGTTTCTTTGAACGTTTGTGCAGATGCTGGGACAGCACCAGCTGCAGCCACGCTCTGTGATCCTCCCGCACTGGTACAGGAGTTTTCCCCTGGTTTTGCCATTTCGGCAGCACCAGCAGCCACTGCAGTTTTCACTCTTGCCCACAATGACAGCAAATAGTGACACTGGCAGCAGCAGCTGCTCTTCACAGAGAGTTCTCTTCACAGAGAGTTCACAGAGAGTTCTGCTCCACAAAAATGTTGTCTTATTGCAAAGCAGCAATCTTACCTCGGGCGAGCCTCCCCGGGGTGAGAGCATACAGGTCAAGGTGTGCTCCCCCATGTTGTAGGGATACTGCTTCAGGAAGCTGTGCATCGACCAGGCCGACTTGGGGCTGTCCAGCTGCAGAATTGCCTACGAGGAAGAAAAGCACAAGCTTCAAATAACTGCTCCTCCATCTTCTTTCTGTACTGCAGAACCAGTTTAACCAATCCAGCTGGTACAGCCTGTGATGGCTAGTCCTCCTGAAGGGTGCCAACACCTTTGAAATGAGCTACAAGCAGCATTTTCTGATCATAGGGATAGAGAGAAAAATCTCTCCGTTTGGAATTATCTTTAGAACCAACCAAGGAACAACATCACGGAACAGCAGAGCCTGGAGCTTCCCTGCCCACGCACATCCAATGTGCTGGCTCCCGGATGAGTTCAGCTTCGGTTCTGCCAGAACTCGCGAGCGTCTTCCCGCGAGAGCGAGGGAGAAGCGTGCGCCCACAAAAAACCAGCAAGAAATCAAGAGAACAGTAAAAGGAACTACACACAAAACTATATCTGCTGCAGCAGAGCAGAGAGCTCTTGCTTCTTTCCCTTTTCGCTATCAAGTGCAACAGCAGAGGAGTTTTCTAAGTCACCTTTACAACTGTCCAGCTATTCGAGTTGTGTTCTATGGCTGGTAATACCTCTTTTCTGTGTTTGTTTAAAATTAAAGCAAGCTTTTCTCTTTTTCTTTAAAACAAAACACCTCTGCCCTTCTGGGATCTCTGCTGTATCCCCGGCTATTGAAAACAGCTCAGGAAGCAAGCGGTTCCGTCACACACCGTCACAAAGTGCTGGCTCAGCGGAATGAAAGCATGCGATGTTCAAATCAACAGAGTTAGCTGTAGGTCTAAAAATCTGCCCTAGATGTTTTACTGACTGCAGAGTTCTCTTTATTGCATGTAAAAAAAAAAAATAAAAGCAGTATTAGTTTCAAAAAAAAGGAAAAATACTGTCTTTTTCTGAAAAGCATCTTGACTTGTTTTATGGTTTATCAGCAGATGGACACTTAAAATAGCTCATAGTAACGGGAGCACAAATCCATTATAATCATTAAAATATACATATGCAGCGAATTAAATCTAGTTCATAAAATAAAAATCCAATGTCCGGTGCAAAACCAGCAACATTAACAATCAAAATATCAACATTTAAAAAATGAAAAGTCACTATGTTTGGAAGTGTCCCGTAACACAAAGTAATTTCAGCAATTCCGACATTTTCACTTCTCTTAACAAATTAAATGTTTTCCCCATGTTTCCTACAAAGTGGGAACTCATTTTCCCCCCACTTCCATCTCTAACATCAAAGGTTAATAATTTTTGCAGCTGTTTGGGAAGCTTTACTTTCAGAGCTTAACAAACTCTTCTTGTATCGCTCAGGTTAGATAACAGCCTAAAGTTTATTTTGGTTTATTTTTCCTTCCCCTCTGCCTCCAACAAATAAAAAAAAAAATCCTCTTGTTCAG